TTAAATTCACCATTTTATGTGCATGCCGTTTGTGGGGTACCCCAAATGATTACAACACTAGCATCAAACATTGTTGATCACAGATGACCATGACAGCTAGACTACTAATGGGAAAGTTTGAGAACTGTGCTAATTACCAAAACATGACCCAGACAAGAAACAAGTGCTGTTGGAAAAATGGCTCCAATGAATTTAACCTGACACAGGGTCTCCCAAACCTGCAAGGGCTGAGATCACTGGGGTTGTCTGGTGTCTGATCCCCCACAGAGGCTGGGGCTCTGCACATGGTGCTCCATGCACAGCAGGCCCACTAAGGATGATGCTGAATGTGTAGATGAATAATTAACACGGAGCCATTTGTTGCTAGTTCTAAGGATTCTCTGAAAAACCCCTGAAAACTACAGTTGGGCCCTGAAATCTGCACTAGCCCTGGAAATATTCTAGGTCTTAATGACAGAATTTCTACTACTTCTGATGAGGTCAGAGAATCCTAAAACTATAAGGAAGCTCACTCTTCTATTTGTTCTTCTGTATTTCCTTTCTTAGTGCAAAATGGCTAATGAGGACCGCAGCAATTTAACACTGTCTAGGAATCTCTGGTGAGGAAGTTTATGCTTTTCCAAGTTTCCTAAGCAGGCTGGAGCTTAATTCCATTCAGTCGACACAAGTATATTTTCTGTGAAGTTCACTTGAAGTAGTTAGAAAACCCCATGTATCCAAATTAAAATTTCAGACCCCTGATATCAGAATCATTTCATTTCAAAATGTCAAAGTCAATCTGGAGATCAGATCGTGATTCAAGCTGGTGAGATCTTTTAGTGCATTTATTGGTACAATCTCTATATATGTGGTGGTCACATTCATCACAGAATTTGCACCTGTAAATGATATACCTCGATTCCTCTTCTCTCCCCATTCCTTTCCCCTTTCAATCCATGTTCCTCTTCTGATACTTGAGCAGCAAAAGAAGACTCATAAAAAATGTAAAATTGTTTCTTTAGCCAGAAAATATGCTCAATAAACATAAAATATCAAGGAAGGCATTCCAAGTTTTGAATTTCTAGCAGTGTATCAGTCAGCTTTCCTGTTGCTGGTACCAAGCACTCAACACCCAAACCTTAAGCAAGGAGATTTTCTTTCTTTTTTTTTGGCCTCATGGTTTCAGAAGTCTCAGTCCATGGTTGGCTGGCTCCAGGACAGGGCCAACACGGAGGGAAGGTGTGGTAGAACCAAACACTCAGTTCATACCAGCTGGGCAACAGCAAGGTGAGTGTACCTGAGTGAAAAGGGTGAGCAACCAGATGTGGCACGTGCAGCCACACCTCCACGACCCACCCAGACACACCCGGCAGTGTGCTCTCCTCATCCCCAGGCCGATCCCAAGCCAGTCAGTTTGACAGTGAAGTTTCACTGTCACAGCAGCCTCCTGTTATACCATCTGAGGACACAGCCAGTCAGTAGCAGTGAGGACCACGTGGAGAGTCCTGCGTTCCTCTGAATGTCTGTGGGCTTCATCTGCCTGGGTTCACTGAACACATGTTGTTAGATTGCCTACTCTGTACCAGGGTTTGATGGTAATGCTTGAAGGGGTCCAAAATCAATTTTATTTTACTATAACAAATATCTTTCTTGAGGGATTATAAAATGTTCATTTTAACTCCATAAAACTGATTAAGTGACATACGTGTTACATATGTGATATCAATGTCCCATTCTCGCCTGTGCTCCAGAGTGCCTGTCTTTGTATGTCTCTCTGTCAGTCTGTCTGTCCATCTCAGCTGATTTGGGGCAGGATGAGGGGGAGAGAAAGGCAGCATTCTAGGCGCCTGTTCACTTCAGCTTGGTTCTCACACCAGCTCGGAGCTCTTACTCCATTTTAAACTTAAAGAAATCAATCAGCCAGCTGGTCCAAGATCACAAAATATCAAGAGCAGAGTATGGGACAGAAACCAGGTCTCTGTCACCTAGTGCCTCTCCTCTGTCTCAGGGCATCTTTATTATGTGCATCCTTTCACTGAGAGAGGGAAGAGAGTTTACTTTCTGGGCATAATGTAATTACATTTATGTATTGTTTCCTTAAGTCATTGTTTGCCACTGCCATAATCAGCTTAAGGGAGGAGACATCTATGTGGGCTCATGGTTTCGGAGGTCTCAGTCCATGGTCATCTGTTCCAAGGCACAGGGCATAGTAGAGCAACACTGATCACCAAAACTCAGAGTAAGAGTGCATGGAAAGAGCCACAAAGGAAGGGGCTGATAGCAGATGTAGTTGCCAGGGTCAGGCTCCAGTGAACACTCCCTTCAACCAGCTCCCACCTGCTGAGTCTTCATCACCTCCTCAAACGCTGTCAAGTTATAAATTCATCAGCAGACCAGTCCACTGATAAAGTTAGAATGCTCAGGACCCCATCGCTACCAAAGCTTCACCTCTGAACAAGGTGCTTTGGGGGGAATTTGAGATCGATCTAAACCCAGTGCACCAAGGGACATAGATGACCGCCTGCGGTCACTGGGCCGACCCAGTCAAATAGGATTCACCCCAGGAATGTGATACAGTTGAGCATCCTTAGTCTATACTTTGAAATGTTCCAAAATCGGGAACTTTTATTATGGGTTTTGAATTTTTAGACAAATAATGTTCAGCTGGTAAAGTCTATTCAAATGTTATAAAATCCAAAAAACTCTGAAATATGAAACACTGGCCCTAAGCATTTCAGAGAAGCCCTATTGATCTGCAAAAACATTTTACTTGAATATTAAGTTTTTACAAGTTCTTTTAGTTTGTTTGTTGTGGCTATTTGAAAATTATATTTAAAGAAGAGAATATGACCTATTAGTTTAAAGACGTGAATTTTTAGCTTTCAGGTATCAGATCAAAAACAGCAATATCGCGATGAATTATTTTGGTAAGAATAAAACAAATATTGTTAAATTGTGAAGAGTTTTTCTTTTTAGCAACAACTCAGCTTTTTCTTTAAACAAAGAAAAGCATACTTGTCCAGTAGATGGCGCTTGAAGAACACTATTTTTGTTTTGGGATTTAGGGTTATAAAACTATTCTCCATTGGATTGGATAAATTGCACATTGTAAATTGTAGCTTGTGTGTGTGTGTGTGTGTGTGTGTGTGTGTGTTCAATGTCTATTTGAAATATAGATCTTAGAAAGTAAATAAAGTGCCTTTAAAAAGTTGTGTTCTAAAGGTAAGTTGATCTAATTTTTTTGCATATTTTATATATTTCTCTTTTATTGAGAAAACAGGTATTAATGATAATTATTTTTCTTTGTGATTCCATTTTGTACTTCTAAGTTATATTGTGTATTCAAAGCAAAGCAAAAAATACACACCTTTTCTTTTTGGTCATATTAAAGTACATCAAGAAAAGCGTTCTAGACACTCAAAAAGCAAGAATAATATGAAATAGTTCACAGCTGAAAGGTTTGGTTGCTCATTCAGTTGTAGCCAAATGTGAAAATAAGTTTTAACTAGTTAATATTGAAATTAGTGTTTATTTTAAAAATAATATTTTCTTATTTTAATTTCATATAAATTTACTAAAATGCTCCATTAATTGAGAAATGTCTAGAGTATTTTCATGATATTTTTTATTTGGTCTGGTGATAGAAATAATTTATATTGTGTTTTAATGACTTTTTTTTTTTTTTTTTTTTTTTTTTTTTTTTTTGTACCAGGGATCAAACTCTCCTTGAGCTTGCAAAGTAAGCAGTGGAATCACAGAGCTAAATCCCCTGTCCCCTTTAATTCCCTTTAAAGAACATTTTTTAACTTCCTTAGTAAGGAACTTCTCTAATTTTATAAATGGCCAACATTGAGTTTGGAATGACCAAGATGGTCATGATTATATTAACAGATTAATAGATAAATAGATTAATAGTTCAGATTATGTTAATCACGTATTAAAATAAGAAAAAATAATTTTACTTCAACTGTATGCTGATGGCAATTTAATGTGTATTTCTGCTTTAATAGGTATATGGTATTTTAATACATATTTCTAACAGGAATTTAATATGTACTTAATAAGATTATTTTTTTAATAAGATTCTTATAAACACTGGTTGGTATACAGATATCTTGAGAAGTCGATATACTCTATTTTTTAAAAATGAGTACTTAATATTTGCTTTTGGTTACAATCCTTCCTTTGAATTCTGCAGCACAAAAGAAAGCCCTTTTATAAAGCACTTGATTCTCTGGAATCTCTTTGAAGCAAGCAGCTCCCTGTGAGGCTGGTGTGAGCGCAGTCCTCAGAAGTCGGTGTCCGGAAGGCCGTGCCACGCTGTGGGAGAGATCGGAGAGGGCCTGAGCTGGGCCCTGGGCAGGCAGATTGGGATGTGGTCAAGGGTCGTGGAAGACTTTTCCCCACCATTCATAACATTTCCTTACTTTTTAAACTATGGTTATAAAAAAGGATTCTGTTATGTTATTGTTGTTGATAATATACTCAATATAATAATTTTAATGGTGACTTATTATTTAGAGTACTTTTCCTCAAAGAATAAAAGACCAGAAAGTATACTCAAACTGGTTCCCCATCCTCATACTCAGAGCTTCTCTCTGTGTCTGACTCCCTCTCTCCCCTCTCTCTCTCTCCCTCTCCTCCTCCCTCTTCCTCTTCCCCTCTCCCTCTTCCCCCACTTCTGTCTCTCTTTCTCCCTTTCTGACAATGTGGCTCAGCATCAAGTAAGTGTTTAAAAAGGCCAAGGAGACCTAGAATGTGCAAGACTACTTTATAAAAAGAAAGTTTCAGGGCCGGGGACTTAGCTCAGTGGTTCTGCCACCTGCCTCGCAAGTGCAAGGTCCGGAGTTGGATCCCCAATATCCAAAAAACAAAAACCAAAACCTTAAAAATAATTTTTCACCTTAAAATTTGTATAACCTTCATTTGATTAAAAATGTAAAACCTGAAACATCTGAATATCTTCCAAGTTATTTATTAGTGAATGTTTTTGAGCTGAGTGTTTTCACTTTCATTTTCAGAATAAGCACGTTCTGTCCGTTGTGACTATTGACAGAATGCTGGAAAGGCTGAAAAAGAGTAATGAACTTTTGGAACTGATTCTTAAAGGACTTAATGAATATTTGGAAAAGAAACGTCTCTTCTTCCCCAGATTCTTTTTCCTGTCAAACGATGAGCTTCTTGAGATCCTGTCTGAGACTAAAGACCCCACTCGGTAACACCTTACGACCGCTATAGTGAACGGCTAAGTTTAGCTGCTTACGTGTAATTCTCAGAATAAGCTGGAACATAAACAATTTTGTGCAATCGTGTTTATATAATCACTTTTCTTCAAGAATATTTTAGGTATTATCAATAATCAACTTGGAATAATGGTCAGAAATGTAAGAAATGTCCTGAAATGATATTTTTCCCCGAATGTGGTGAACCTTGGGATGGATTTCCTTCCAGACTTTCTGGGACACCGCGGTTTTCTTCATCGCACTCTGATAAATGGCTTGAGTGGGCCACACAGTGGTGGCCTTACCCTTCCTGTTCCTCCTCTGCCGGTCTTCCGCTCTGCAGAGGAGGTCCATAACCTCCTCGCAGTTCCCTTCCTTGGGGTGCTGTTTGCCTAGAATGCTCCTTACCCAGACCTCCACAGGCTTCCTCCTCTGCCCTCAGCACCTTCCACGCGGGGGCGCTTGTCCTCGGTGGCGCCCTGGCCGCCGCCTCCTCCTGCCTTCCCTTCCTCCCGCGTGTTCGTGAGCGATACCTGGCACGCGCTGTCATTTTCTTGCTCGCCTCTTGTCTTTGTCTAGCGCTGTGGGAGTTCGTGATGGCAGGGATCTCTGACAACTTTTCCTGCAGCTGGAAAGTGTCTGAGAGAAAATAGTCCGTGAATAAATGATAAATTTATTTTACATCTTGAGCCTTCAGAGAAGGCCACGTAGTCCAGATAAAAAGAAGAAGATAAACTTAGGCTGGGATTTCTATCTGAATTTTATACACTGCTTCTTTTTGCCAATTTGAAAGATAAATGCAACTGGTTATTGGTAATGTGCCAAAAGTGAGGGCTTTAGTCATTCCCACCTGTGTCACACTGAGTAGCCCGACAGCCGCTGGTTTAGCAAACTGCAGAGGACTGCGAGTACTGAAGGGCTTCAAGGCCATAATTTTCGAGCAGCCTCTGAAGATTTCCCTTGAAATGGCTACCCTGCTGTATTGAAGAATCTTTAAATTAGTATATTTATCTGTTAGTTAAAAATGGTTTAAACCAGGCATGTTGGCGCACACCTGTGATCCCAACATTCAGTAGGCTGAGGTAAGAGGATCACCCTGAGTTCGAGGCCAGCCTGAACTGCACTATGATTTCCTGTTTCAAGTCAAAATAGTTTTTTATCTTTGAGCATCTTTAAATTTATTGTATTGAAAATGAAGCCCTATGGATGTTGCTCTCCTTTGTAGCTTTTATTACAGTTGTAACTTCATAGATCTTTTGTGACTGTTCAGCTAATACTGACCTCTTCCTGGGCCATGTGGTCCACGTAGGCAGAGACACTGTGTCTGGCTTTGCTTTGTTTCGGTTATTGGGCTCAGCCGTTCACACCAAGCAGCCCCTAGCACAGGTCTAATGCTTAGCGCTCACGAGTGAGTTTGAAGTGAAGACAGGCACACAACATGGCTTCCGTCTGAGTGATCCTTCACGCTGCTCTTCCTGACAGGGTGCAGCCTCACTTGAAGAAGTGTTTTGAAGGGATCGCCGAGGTGGAATTCACGGAGGCCCTGGATATCACGCACATGAAGAGCAGCGAAGGCGAGGTGGTGGAGCTCATGGAGACCATTCCCACCACCAAGGCCAGAGGCCAAGTGGAGAAGTGGCTGGTAGAGCTGGAGAGGATCATGATCAACTCCATCCACAAGGTAGCAGCTGTACTTGTTGTCGTCTTCGGAAAGGCGTGGTGGGGTCTCAGTGCTGTTATAAACATATCACGGGCAGATGCGCAGTTTTTTAGAGCGAGGTTGAGGCATGAATCACCACTGCAAGAGTAACAGGCACTTGAGGGCAGCAGGAGGCCTAAGGTCATTATTCTGTGGAGATTCCCCAGAAGTGGGACAAAATGCGATCCATACGACCCAGAAAACGTGGACTTCAGTGACACACCTGTTGCCTTTTTGGCAGTCACGTAATAATTAAGCACCCTGTCTGCTCGCTTTCGGTCTGTCCTCGAACACAGCTTCTTAGAGTTCACGTCAGTCTCCTTCACACACGTCTGTCCTGCTGTTCTCAGTAAGATGCACACAGGAATGCTACAGCACAGCACGGTGTGCCTCCCTCCGCTGATGGCAACTGCATGTTTTCCACATCTCATAAACCACGCTGTTAGCTCACGCGGGCATTTGTGAGTAGAGAATTTTAGGTCACGCCAACAAGTGGAGACTGAGCACCCATGTTCACTCTTCTGCTGTAGTATAGACTTAGTATTGAAGAACAAAAACTATGAGCCAGTGAGCATGAAAGGAGTATAATATATTAATTTTTCATCACTTCCTCCCATAAATCGTTGCTAAACTTCACAGAATCTGTGTTTAACATTATCTCAGGTCTAAATGTTTTTCTCTTCTGAAATACAGCTTTTATGCTCCCCACATCATATTTTCTAGTAAACATAAAATCTCCTGACAGTTTCCCATTTTCTTCTTGTATGTATTATATTACAGTGCATGCGCCGTCCAAACAGTTGATTTCTTTGATGTAAGTATCCATTTTCTGAGGATAGCCATGCAGTGTCAGACCACTGGGCTAAGGAGAGTGACTTTCATAGGCCTTGACAAGCACTGCAAATAGCATGACTGTGTAGCCCCTGGCAATACAGAGGAGTCCCTCTCTGACCACTATTTAGCAGACTTGAGTTGGGCTTTAGGGATTGCTAATAGTGGAACTCATTACTATAGACACATCTATTACTATTCTAACTAATGTTGTGATTTTGTGTGCCAAAGTACTTAGAAGAAATATTTCAACTCATTGCATTTGAATTTCTTTGTGAAGTATCTATTAATTTCATTTGCCCTTTTTTAAATTGGATCTTTTGGGGTTTTAATTTTTCTTGTGTTCTTTTTTTTTTTTTTTTTTTTTTTTTTTTTTTTTTGGG